GGGGATGTATGGAGATTTTCTAAAGCTAAACGATATCCACACCTCAAACCCCCCCTCCCCTCTCCCACTTTGAGATTTAAAGCCACTTAATGAGGGAGGCTCCCCCTTGGAATTCAAATCCCCCTTCCATGGGGGAGGTATGGAAATTTTCTGGTACTACGTACATATTACATGTATATCCTCCTAAGACCCTCCCCACACCTTGTGAATATCAATCCCCTTCCATGATTAATATTTTGTGGTAGCACACAATACAGCACACACACCCACCACTTGGGAATGCAAGCTATGCATATAATGAAACTTGACACTATGGGTATTTTTAATCCAAGAGAGTCTTCAAGCACTTCTTTTAAAAATATTTATCTTGGACTAATAGGGATAGAAAACATGCYGTCAATGAGATATCAGAATGGCTGCCAAGACTTCACAGTTTGGTGATTGGTCCGGGCATGGGCAGGAATCCAAACAACATTGATAACGCAAAGGTACATGTATATTTAGAATAGGCCTTTTGCAACAACAGGTCATGTGACCTACCCCCATAAAAAGTTTTAGCTTATAATGTAGACTATAGTAGAAATGGCATTACTGTAAATATAAAATTGAATATTTTTTAAGGATTTGTATAGGAAAATGTGCTGGATGGCATAGCACATTTCCCCATACAATTTAATCCTTATAAAATATTCTATTTTGTATTTAATATCATTTCTCCTGTTTTACATGTCATAAGCTGAAACTTTGACTTCTTACTAATATCAAGGTGCTCTTTCCATTTCTGGTGTTTATTTTGACACAACATCTCTTTTTATGGGGAGTAGGGTCACATGAATTGTCGTTGCAAAAGGCCTCTATTAGTACAGTATGTGGAATATTCCTCATGGGAATCAAGGGTGATATCGTGGTAGCGCACTCACATCTCACCTCTGGGGTCTCGGGTTTGATTCCTTGATTTGACATCACATGCTGGTAGAGTTTGTTAGGACTCGCCCTTTTTCCAGGGTTTTTCTCAAGGTTCTTGAGTTTTCCTTCCTCTGGTGTAGCTTGTGTTGCTGCTTACGATCTTTTGAAACAAAAGTCTATTATGTATATTCAGTGAATCAGCAAACAAGGGCATTGATCAAAAAGCATAAGCTTATAGAGAAATCACTGATAATTCACACAAAAAAGTATTGCAATAAGCAAGCATTGGAAAAATCATGAAAGGTTAACTACAGCCCTTTCTGTACTCTTATCAGTGATTGCTGGAGCCAATCAACAAGTGGTATTTTGAATAAATTTACACTGTATGTTAAAGGACATTAGCAATATAATTCAAGCAACCTATCATTAAAAGTATATACATAAATAGTCTTTATTGTGGTGTTTCATTTTATCTGGATCGTAAGGGTGGCGAGAAAATGAATTGTTACTTGTCCCTAGTCGACCCCTGTTCCGCCATTTTGAAAATCTTCAATATGCAAATTTATTCATGTGATGTCATTAGCAGGGTAGCATTGAAACATCTTACATTTACGGCTCCATAGTCTTACATAAAAGGACACTAGAAACTAATTTTTACGTTCACTTTCTTTAAAAACTAGTCCGAAAATCAAGGTCTGTTTTCATTCTACCCTGCTAATGACATCATATGGAAGTCAATTATTTCAACAGACTATTCAAGATGGTGGACGCTAAAGAATTTTGGCCAAATTAATTTGCTATTTCCCACTATATTGGTTTCTTCATGAAATGATAGCATATTTAATGTTGCACTATAGTGTGAGCCTTAAACAGGTTGTGTTTTTCTATATTGCCAATGTCCTTTAAAAATTGTTTCATCAGAGTGTCATAGAAAAGGCCATCAAACTAGGAAAGCAATTGGTTATTGACGCAGTAAGTATTTTCTTTTGAATCACAGAATT